GCTCGGGGGTTGCCCCTCGAAGGGTGGGGGGGCACAGGGACGGCTGTCCCGGTGTGTGCGGGCCGCAGGCGGGGGCTGGGAGAGGCCCGGGCCGGAGCTCAGGGCCTCAGCGCCTTCCCCACCCCTCCCGCAGCGGGGGGGGCGCCGGAGCGCTCGGTCGGGTCATTTCCCGCACGGAATGTGGCCCCGGTTTCGAGAGAGTTCAAACAGCTGCGAAGTGATTAAAAATGAAACTGAACTTTGTTCGATTGGGAGGTGGAAGAACCGCTCGTAGCGTGTGCAGAGGAGATAATCTAGTTACAGATTAGCCCCAGTTCCCCCCTGCGGGCTGCCTGGCTCAGCAGAGCTGGATCCAAATAGTCCTGAGTGTCCAAAGATTAGTTAGCTCGGGAGTTTAAACTCCTCACGCCCCTGACTCGGGTGGAACGGGGTTTCTGGGGGAGAAATTCTCCCGAGCAGCGTGCTCGGGTTATAGTTATTTTAATGTATTCCACCCACTTTTGATTAGTCCTGGAATAGCCATCGAAACTTGAACCCCAGTGCCTGGGCTTGGCTGGGCAGGTGTGCTCGCTGCACAGTGACCTGGGAATGGACTGGAAGTGAGAAGTAATTTGACCTGGTTTTGTGTAACTCGGAAACGAGCTGTTTTAGGGCTAGTCTGAGACTTTGGGGTGGTGGGGTGGAGCTCCTGGCCTCGGGGCTTGTGCTGGGGCTGATTTTGGCATGCCACACCGTGTCTGAGCCCAGAGCAGGGTGGTACCTGCCACAGGAGGGTGGTGTCTGCATTTCCTCCCGAGGTGTGTGGTGAAACGCCTTCCTCCTTGCAGGAGACTGTTCCAGCTTTTTGTGTTTGCTTTTGTTCGTTTTTTGTTGTTTTTTTTTTTTTTTAAATGCAAAGGGTTTTGGTTTCTTTCTCCTGTCATTAGCTGTGCTGATGTAAAAGACTGTGGGTTCATTTACCCTGGCGAAATTCATGGATGTGCTCATTGAATGAGCCACGCTTGGGAGGAATGCTCAGACCAGTGTGAGCTGGCGTTGGTGTCTGAGGCTTCTGTAGGAACGTTATCTTCGTGTGTGCAGAAAAGGAACTGGCTTCCCGAAGGCTTCCTGTTAGTTTGAGCAACAACAAGCAATGCCTTTCAGTTTCATAAAGGCTTATCTTGTTTGCTTATTCATGAGGGGGGCACTGCAGGTCAAACCGGGGAATCCTGTTGTTCCAGTCACTAAAACCACATTAATAAAAAGGCGACACATCTGCCTGGCCATCGGGGCCTGGCCTTCGTTTCGGCTCGAGGGGCAGGGCTGGTGCCAGGCTGCAAACTGACTTCTGTGCTGTGGTTCTGATGCGGTGGGGCTTTAAAGCCCTTGTGAGAAAGGGGAGTGTGATGTGCACAGAGATGGCAGCTGTGTCTGAGGCGGGGATGAAGGAACTAGAAATGGGTTATGGGCTGTTTCATGTCTGGCTCAGGCGAGTGTGAGCAGCATAGCCCTCTGCAGAAGTAGGCAGGTACTTGGCAGTGACTCACAGCTTTGGGACCTAAAATATATCATCTCACTGGTGGCCTTGTGGTGTCGTGTGTGTGTGTGCTTGCCTCTAAAGCAGCATCTCTTGCAGGAATGCTTCGGAAGCTGGAAATCCAGAAAGAGGAAGATCTGCAGTCAGTGTGTGAAGTGGCTGCCCACGTGTTCAGTGATGGAGTAACAAACTGGGGTAGAGTGGTGACGCTCATCTCATTTGGTGCCTTTGTTGCGAAACACCTGAAGAGCATAAACCAGGAGAAATGCATCAGCTCGTTGGCAGGGATCATCACGGATGCACTCATCTCATCGAAGCGCGAGTGGCTCATGAGCCAAGGAGGCTGGGTGAGTCACTGCCTGTCCCCAACACTGCCAGCTGTTCAGAGCAATCCAATATTTTCCTTTTTCTGTGACCTGCTCTGACAGCCATGTGTCTCAGCAAAGCACAGAGATGACTCGCTGCTCCAGTTAAAACCACAGTCTGAAACATCTCCCTGAAAGTCTGGTGTTTCAGGAGCTCCTTACCCTGAGCTGCCTGGAGCAGTGTTGACCTAGAAATGTGGAGGGGGCAGTATTCCCAAAGCTGAGTCAGTCCTTGGTGTGTTGAGCTTCAGGCTGGTCCACAGCTGCCTTGCTGCTGTCTCCTGATTGCTGCCTCTGTGGGGCAGCTGTGGCCACAGTGAGTCAGGGGAGTGTGCTTGGGGGATGTGCTGGGCAGGCTGTGCCCCTGCCTGCTCCCCAGGGAAAAAGCCTTTCCATGCCTTCTGCTGGAGAAGGGTGGCTGGAGAGGAAATTACTTTTCCCTTCTTTCTTCTAGGAGGGCTTTGTTGACTTCTTTCGAGTCGAGGACCTGGAAGGCAGCATCAGAAATGTACTGATGGCATTTGCAGGTGTGGCTGGACTGGGAGCAAGCTTAGCCTACATGATCCGGTGAGCCGGGGTGTGCTGCAGAGGGACAAAACTCTGGGTGGACTGTCTGTCTGGGACTGGTGAGCTCATCGCTTCTTCCTGTGACGAGGAGAATATTTAGGCATTCCCTGAGCAATCCTTTCCTAAGGCAGAAGGTGCGGGTACCGATGAGCATTTATTGTTTTGGGACAGAAAGTGGAAGAATTGATAGTCTGCTTCCTTCAGGAGGATGATGACAGAAGGCTCAAGTGGACTGCTCCAGTTTTATCCTGGAGGGAACTGATCTGCTTAGCAGCAAGCCAGCGAGCACCAGCAGCTCTTGTCTGGACTGAAGCCTCCTGGGCTTGGCACAGCAGCTGTGCGTGGAGCAGATGTTTCAGGGTTGTGGTTGTGTGTTTCTGGAAATAACATCTGCTGCTGCCGTCCTGCCTAAACTTGTGGCTTTTCTGTTGGAGCAGAAGCACCGAATGCTGGGTGTGTGCGAGCCTGTGCCTGCCCCAGGTGTGCTGGCGAGGGGCCTCCGGCTGCTGCTGAATCTGCACACATCCACCCTCCAGAAGCAGCTGAGTTGTGTCAGCAGCCAGGACGGGCACCCTGCTGCCAAAACACGGGGTGCTGGAGCCCCGCCTGGCCCCTGCCCTCCCAGCAGGGCTTCAGCCAGGTCACTGGGCAGGCGGAGGAGCTTCGAGGGTGGGGAGAGGCGGGGCTGGGTGCGGTAACCACAGCCAGCTGCAGCGCAGCGGTGTTGGCTAGGCTGCCTGATCACGGCTATACGGATGCAACTCACCACACGTAGGCAATTTAAAAATAGTGCGTTTGTAAGTATGTAAAACCCCACATGGGGTGGGGACGCTGTAAAGGACATGTAAAAATCTATAAATCTGTAGAATATGTACAGTTTTACAGAGCTAATGATACAAAAAAGGAGGAATTTTGAATGTGGTAGAACTGCTTATGGGTGCACTGTACTTCATTCCTCATGTGAAGTAGCATTTTTGTGGCAAAGCCTTCTCCTGCCTTGACTCCGAGCACGCCTTTCTCTGATGTACTTGAGTAAACGTTGCCAGGGAGTGTAACAACGATCAGTGCCCTGCTGGACTCTCATTGTGCCCGTGGCTTGCTGGCAACACTTGATGTTTCTGTTTATTTTAATCTTCTTGGTTATTCTAGCCCTTCTGGCTGGTGGGGAGCTGCGGAAGTTTGTATCAGTTACTTCCTTGTCTTCCTTACATTTTGATCCTCTAAGCCATGAGTCAAACGAAGCTGATATTTGAATGTAAATGTTCTGGAGCAGAATAAAACTCATCAGCTCGGATCTGCAGCTTGTGCACATCCGTTGGTGCCAGCCCTGGGCTCAGTCCCTGGTCCCCAGCTGGTAGCATTGCTGCTTGGTGGGCTTGTAGTGCTTGGCCACCTCGTGTCCTCCCACCGGGGACAGGTTGGTCCTTGGGGAGCTCCATGGGACTGGGCTCTGCACAGTGAGGAACATCCTTGTCCGTGCTGCCTGACCTGCAGCCTGAGCAATGCCCCATGAAACCCCAAGTGGAGAGCTGAAAGATGGTGCTATTGTCAGGTCTGCTTGTTTGCTGAACAAGCACTTAGTTTTGTTAATAAATTTTTTTGTTTTATTCTCGGTCCTCTGGTATAAAACTTGCTGTTTCCTGTAACGAGGTGCTGATGTGCTAAATGCGCTGCTGGTGGGGGCCTCTTTGCATGGCTGCTTTGGGGGCACCCCACAGCCTCTTGCTTGTTAGAAAGCCTCTGTGGGCTGTGGAAAACTGCTCTGGGTGTCCTCTGTCACCCTCTGGAGCTGCCCTGTGCTGTGACGCTCTTCTCCTTCACCATGTACATGGGTGGGCAAAGTCCATGAGGCGCTTTGCACTCGCTGCCTGCATGCTCCAAAACCACTTTTTTTGTGGTGCTCTGGGTGCCTGCGCCCCGCGGCTGGGGCTGGTTTCTCTCTGTATCAGCCCTGAGGAGGGGGAACTGACTCCTCCAGCCTGGGGGTGAGCTCTCCAACGGAGGGGGGAGACACTGTGGGTCATCGCGCCTAGTGTTAGGCTTGTCCCTCCTCTGCCTGCGCAGAGCAAGCTGGTGGTGTGGCAGCCAAAGAGGCCCCTCCTTAGGGGGACCCTGCTCCCCCAGACCCCTCCCTGCCCCGTGGCCCCTGATTTTTCCATCCCCAGCCTGCAGGACTTGAGGAAGCCCACGACCTGCCCGGGGGGCTGCGTGGGCAGTGGTTTGATGAACGGCTTCCTCCTGCCGGGACCGACCTTGGCTGGAAAATCCCCCTCCTGAGGAGCAAAGCGCTTCCCTACCCCAAAAACTGCTGGTGGCTCTGGCCTGGTGGGCTGCAAGCCTTACTGGGGGGGAGGGTGGGAGCTCCCTGCAGTGCTGGAGAACCTCTTGCTGCCAAAACCAAGCTGGTGGCTCAGCCCTGCTCTGCAGATACTGCAAAACGTTGTGGGTATTTTTTTTTTCCTGTGGATTTTTTTGCCGCTGTTTTATTT